AGAGACGCAGCAGTTGCAGCAAGACTGCGAATACAGACCACAGTAGCAGATGATGAGAATGAGTTTTGACACCAAAGCAAACGTTAAAATAGTATAGAAATGCATGAGAACATTTATTTGATTAACTTTATATGTTTGTTTAGCAAGTAATTACAACAAAGTCAGTCTCAAATGGACATATATCTCCTCATGGAGCTATATGGGGGAGTGTGTTGGAAACTGACAGATTAAGTAATTTGAGTATAGGGATTAATTATAGGGTAAATTATGTGACGTCATTTAATCAAAACGAGGTAATAGTGTTAGTGTGACAGTGACTACGAAGCGAAAAGTGTGATTCATTGTGAACGTGTGATTCATATATTATATTAAAGTTTATTATTTGAACTCAGTGACTTGTCGAGGACAACGTAGTTTTGGAGGCGAAACATTCTCGACATTGCCAGGACGCACGTCCGTGGGAGTGTCCCTATATGTCGTGTGTCGTGTGTCGTGGGTTAAAAGTCGTGTGTCGTGAGTAAAGTCATGGGTAAAGTCGTGGGTAAAGTCGTGGGTCATAAAATATGCTAAAACGCATTTTTTCACGAAAATATTATTTTTATTTTTAATATTTTTTTTCGTACTTTTTCCTTTTATGCGCTACATAAATACGGGAAAATTTAACGCAACAAATCTCCAGTAATAAAATAAAATAAAATGCATGCTGTCTCTTGTTCTTATCTGTAGTATACCAAGTAAATATTTCCGTTTCGTATAGTCTAATGGACGTAATAGTAATAAGTCTATAGATGTATCAGTTTGATGATAAAATGTATCAAGTTATAGGATATACGTTTATTAGCTTCGTAACGTCGCGAATAACTATGTCGATTGCACATGTCGATACAGATACAAACGGCTATAAATTCTACTGACGCTGTAACTGAATAAGTGGCTAACGCTCGAGCCTCAAATTTTGCCATTTTATCTCCTAGTATATGCCGGTTCGCCACATTTCATGTGTATGTGGCTTTAGGAAATATTCCATAAATTGCTACGGGCTATTTGCCAACAAATTAAGCGCGTTAGCCGCTGTTATTTTGACAGAATATGATAGGCCTACCTCAGTCTACACTTTTCAGCCGTAATACATATAAATGCGCGCATTGTAGTCATGTACATATCGTTTAATTTATCTTCAAAAACTTGATAAAAAACATGTTATTCGTGTTGGTTCCGGAGCGCAATGGTGTGATCGTTGCCAGAGCACATGCAAAGCCGCCTCAGTATATATCATGTATGTAACGGGAAATCTTGCATATTTCAGTCCAATAAAGTCATTTTTTTTTCTTTGATAATGTACGCAACATGCTGCGCATTTTACATTTAACAAAATAGAGCAATTTTGATTTTATCAAGTTTTTGAAGCTATATTAAACGATATGTATATGATTACAATGCGCGCATTATGTATTACGGCTGAAAAGTGTAGACGGGTATCATCTTCTGTCAAAATAACAGCGGCTAGCGCGCTCGGTCGGCAAGTAGCCCAACAAAAAGTCAACATCGCACAAATCTCGGCACAAATCATGAAATCATTTCGGTTTTCAATCACGAAATCCCAAATCATAGCAATTTATGGAATATTCAGTCCGAACGCTACATATACATGAAATGTTTGTCTATCGGCTTTATTAAGGGCCACGAACATATACTAGGAGATAAAATAGCAAAATTTGAGACTCGAGCGTTGGCCACTTTACAGTCTTTACACTCAATACAGTGCGGTACAATTTATAGCTCACTATGTTTGTATCAGACATAGGCAATCGACATAGTTATTCGCGACGTTCGTGATGGGACTATAACAGTTCCAAAGCTAATAAACCTGTATCCTATAACCATAGTCACTCAACTGAACTTAAGACATTTTATCATCAAGCAATACATCTATGACTATATATAGTATTATAGACTTATTAGACTATACGAAACGGAAAGTTTACTTGTTATACAATAGATAACAGCAAGAGACAGCATGTATATTATTTTATTACTGGAGATTTGTTGCGTTAAATTTTCCTGTATTTATGTAGCGCATAAAAGGAAAAAGTACGAAAAAAATATTAAAAATAAAAATAATATTTTCGTGAAAAAATGCGTTTTTAGCACATTTTATGACCCACGACTTTACCCACGACTTTACTCACGACACACGACTTTTAACCCACGACACACGACGCACGACATATGGGGACACTCCGTCCGTGGATGTCGGAAACAGACAAGTGATGATGTATTGATGACATATTGATGTAATGCATTGCGAGCATATTGCATAGTAGAAGCATTGCCAGGACGCACGTCCGTGGATGTTGGTACAAAGAATGCCGTATAACTGCGCGAGAGGATGACGACTTTGTGTGTTCATATCTTCGGTTCAGTGGCAGTGCACAATCGAGAGGATGACGACTTTGTATGTTCATATCTTCGGTTCAGTGTAGCGACTTATGGCCATTATGGTCAAGCGAGATCGTTTATTATCAAATTACGCAATTGTCTAAACTCTTTCTCGACCAAATCGCAAGTATTAATATCATGCGCGAGGGGATGACGACTTTGTATGTTCATATATTCGGTTCAATGCACAATAGATTTGGTCATTATCAACATTGTAGCGATTTATGATGAAGCGAGATCGTATATTATCAAATTATGCAATTGCCTGAACTCTTTCTCGATGACTTTGTATGTTCATATCTTCGGTTCAGTGCATGCTATGCCTATACTGTATATATAATACCACCATTCGATTCATTGAAACAATATAAACTAATTCTCACAATAGTTTTAGTCATTGTCAAACATTGTAGCGATTTATGGCCTTTGAAAGTCTAGCGAGATCGTATATTATCAAATTACGCAATTGTCTGATCAAAAATATAAACTAGCCATACCTTTCGCCTAACATAACTTCGGCCCCTTTGGACGTACATTCTTCATTGCAATATTCTTGTTCGAATCATTATCAATAACACTGTGTGAAGTGTTTATATTTTCGAGCTTGTATCTTCAAATTTGTATATCTTTTAGTTTTATCACGGTATATAAAAACTTCCATTTCTGGCCCAACTGTGAGCTAATCTCAACCGGAAATACAATTTTAAAACGTCAATAATGCGACGTTTGCGCCATGACTCTGGGAATGCCAGAAATCGATTCCAAAGGTCAGAGTGCACATTTATATTTTTATCGGCTCAATGCCTATTATTTTCCGGTGCTACTATTCAGTAGATACATGTCCGCCACAGCGGACCTATGTTTAATCAGTAGAAGCATTGTCAGGACGTATGTAGATATATGTCGGGAAAAGGCACATTTGATGACATATTGATGACGTATCGACGTAATGCATTGCGAGCATATGGCGAAAGTCGGTTATCTACGGTCAGTTCCGCTGTTGTCCATAAATGGTTTTGTAAATAACACGAGTACTCAATGTGGTGCAATACGAAGAATGCCGAATAACTGCGCGACAGGATGACGACCTTGTATGTTCATATCTTCGGTTCAGTGTTCAGTGCACAATAGTTTTAGTGATTTAGTCATTATCAACAATGTAGCGATTTATGGCCTTTCAAGCGAGATCGCATGTTATCAAATTACACAATTGTCTGAACTCTTTCTCGACGACTTTGTATGTTCATATCTTCAGTTCAGTGCTAGGTTAGTTCAGTGCATGCTATGAAGATATATAATTTCACCATTCGATTCATTGAAACAATATCAACTAATTCCTTACAATAGCTTTAGTCATTATCAACATTGTAGCGTTTTATTCAATTTATGGCCTTTGAAAGACAAGCGAGATCGTATATTATCAAATTACGCAATTGTCTAAACTGAAAATATAACTTCGGCCTCTTGGACGTATCTTCATTGCAATATTCTTGTTCGAATCATTATCACTAACTACTGTGTGGAGTGTTTAAATTTTCTAGATTGTATCTTCAAATTTGTATCTTTTGGTTTTATCACGGTATATAAAAATTTCCGATTTCTGGCCCGACTGGCGACTGTCAACCGGAAATATATTTTTAAAACGTCAACAATGCGATGTTTGTGACGTTGTGCTTGTGCTATGACTGTGGAAATGCCAGATATCAATTTCAACTGTTAGAATGCACATCTATGCTTTTATCTGCTCAATGCCTTTTATTTCCCAGCGCTACTACAGTGACCGAAATCTTGGTTGGGCGGGAGGGGGGGATGCTGACCAATTTTCGAAAATTTTGATCTAAAAGAGGGCTAAAAACAGCCTTTTCGAGAGCAAATGGAATGGTTTGTCGGAAATTTGAAATTAAAGTTTTGTCAGAAATTTAGCAGGCTTTGCCACCCCCCCCCCCCCAAGAAAAAGTGAATTTCAACCACTGCTACTATTCTATTCAGTAGATGCATGTCCATGACAGCGGACGTATGTTCTATACTCGAAAACGAGTTTGAGTTTTGGTCGCCTGTCGTGCGTCGTGGGTAAAAAGTCGTGCGTCGTGGGTAAGAACGTAGCAAAATATGGCCAAGCAGCAAGTAACAAAAGGAATGTTGCATGTGACGCAATTAAAGCAATGAAACAATGCGTAAGACATCTAGTAATCCGACTCAAAGTTCATAAGACATCCGTTTTAGCAACCCCATGGAAATAATCTTTTTAGCCAAGAAAAAGGCACAATATTAATTATTACAACATCCTGTCAAATATGTATTAAAAAATCGGTTTTTAGTGTGAGTCACTCATCATCAATTTGTCGCAAACCTAGCCTCCTCCGTAGGCATCGCCGTTAGAGATGCCTGCGGAGGAGGCTGTCGCAAACCATACATGCAAGAAAAAAGACAAAAATCTTGCTAATATGCGGGCGAAATGTAAAGAGGGCATAGCTAAAGAGCGATCTAAATCGACCAAACGAAAATACAGCAGAAGATCTGTCGTTCACCACAAAGACACAAGCGAGGTTGAAGGTCACACATCCGGTATCGAGTATGACATCTATATCCAGGTCTAGCGTCCTCCGCAGGCATCTCACTGAGGAATCAGGTGGTGAGAAAAAGTTTGAGAGGCCTGCGGAGGAGGCTAATCCAGGCCTATATATATATATATATATATATATATATATATATATATATATATATATATATATATATATATATATATATATATATCGAAACATATTGATTTTTAATACACTCGACTCATCCGCTTCAGCAATGCATTCATACCGATTCCGATGATCGTGGATTTGCATACTTGGCAAAAACACCTTGGTTGCTCTGTCTTAAACTGACAGTGCTTAAATCACTCAGTTAACATGAAGCATTCTCGG